GAGTATGATAAAAATGAAGCAAAAAAAATACTGCATTAGATGTAACTTCTGTTAAGTTTTGGGGGTTGCTAATGGTAACTAAAAGCATTTAATTGGAGACTTAGTGTTTTAAAGGGTTAGTCCCTGGTCATCAACACAAGAAGCAGACAGGCATGACTGGAGCAGAAGCTGAGAGCAGAGATAGAGATACTGCGCCTGGCATGGGCTTTTGAAACCTTAAACCCTCCAGTCATGCACCCCTGACAAGACCACACCTCCTAATCCTTCCCAAACAGTGCCACTCCCTGGTGACTAAGCATTTTCATTCAAACCACACTCGGTTTGATTTGATTTAGTCCTTTTGGAACATACATTGTAAAAAGATCTGTCATGAATGCTGTGATCATAAAAAAACTAGTGTCTTTCTCCACCTGCTTGGAGCAGCTTTGCTGGAGAGGCTTTGGGTGGTCTGGGGACAGCGCCCTGGGTGGGGCCGCAGTTCCGGTGGTCAGTTCTGCTGTTAGTGGTCATGGGACTTGGAGCCTAAAGTCACCTTTTTGAACTTCGATTTTCAGTTGTACAGCTAAGGAACTGCTGTGGCTTGAGTGGGGTGTTAAAAGATGACAGCTGAAAGCAAACATCTTCCTTTTTTTGTCAGGTACGTTTAATCTTCAGAAAGACGGGAAGGAGGGGTTGGTCATGCTTCTCGGGTGTAATCTAGTCCAAGCGTGCAGCTGAAGAGTGACAGTTTTTAGCAGCCCCAAAGCTCTTGTGTCACGTAATTGTTACTTCACTCTTACGGTCTCCCCAAGAAGCAAGGAGCCAGCCCAAGTCATGTTTGGGAAATGTCGATCTGTTTTTCTGCTGTGTCCACATCCAGGTCTTACTCTGGAACATGCAGCCTTGTGTTACTCACCTGCACCGGTAGCGCTGGCTGATGAGATCGTCTGGTTGTGGTTGCCTGATGGTCACCACCACCACCGCCGCCGCCGCCGCCGCCGCTGCTGCTGCTGCTGCTGCTGCTGCTGGAGCGGAGCCTGGTTCAGAGAACCAGAGAAAGGACCCCGCTGAGATACCAGTTCATGACCTAAGAAGTGGTGACACATTCTCTCTGGTTTCTAATTTTGCTGTATCTACGGAAATGAGGAGTGTTTTTCTTTAGTCTAGGGAGCTGGCCTTGTAGAGATTCTGACATGTGCTTCTGTTACATTGGTTGTCTTTCCCTTGTTGAGACCCTGACAGTGCTGCTTGTTAACATGTGGTATCCGCACAGCCCCTTGAGCGTGCTAGAGTACTCAACCATGAGCTGTATCCCCAACATCAGAAAGGTAAAAAATCACCACCAGTGGCGGCACACCCCTTCAATCCCAGCCCTCGGGAAACAGGCATGTAGATCTCTGAGTTCGAGTCCAGCCCAGGTAGTATACAGTTCTGGGACAGCCAAGGCTACACAGAGAAACCTGTCTCGAAAAACCAGTTATAATAAATACTTCAAAGTCTTGACTATTAGCATCACGCTGGCCTTTTACTTTGATTTTGGATTTACTCTTTGGCCAGTAGCTTGTTATTTACTCCAGCGAGTGGAGGAGTTTATGTATGTGTTGATTAAGTGCCAAAGGCACGGCTGGGCTGTGACTCAGTGGCACCATCCATGGTGCATGCTGAGTCCCTGGACTCCATCCTTGGCACCAGACGAGAAAAGGAGTTCACTGTACTCGGTAGCCTTTGAAACGGTGCAGAGGAGATGGAAAGATAGAACCCACGTTAGCCCATTTTCTCCTCAGCCTGGGCACAGGCACATTTCAACTCCTTCCTGTGATGTGTGTTAATGCGTTATTTCCAGTACTGGTGGACTAGTATTTTTAGTTTAATTTTCTTCCTGGTTTCTTGATTCTGAGAGTCCAGGCTGTTTCATTGCTCAAAGTATAGCCCTGCCACCTGGAAGACGGAAACAATTCAGTTTTGGCTCTCTATTTTTTTTTTATTGAAATTTTTTTTTCATATATTTTGATCACTTTTGACTTCCTGGTCTTTTACTTATTTTGATTTTCATTTTTGTATTTTGGGGAGTTTTGTGTGCCTTTCTGTTCTTGTCTTCAACAAATCAGGCTAAATACAATTGCATTTCACAGGTTATTATTTCTAGATTCTATTTCAAATTTTGATATTTGATCAAATTCATTATGGAAAACAGACCACTGTCTTCTGTATCTTAGATTGAACTCTTCTGTGTGATATCCGCCCCCCCCACACACACACACAGGGTTTCTCTTCCTGGCTGTACTGGAACTCACTCTGTAGACCAGGTTGGCCTCGAACTCACAAAGATCCACCTGCCTCTGCCTCCCAAGTGCTGGGATTAAAGTTGTGTGCCACCACTGCCTGGTTTAAAACTCAAATTTTTAAATCAGAAAATAGTTGTACTTGAACACTTTAAGAAACATTGCTTGGTGCACTGTAATCTTTATTACAAGCAGCTCAGAAAGGGAGTTTTGGCCTAGTGCTGTCTGTGAGCCTTGTAGATTTCTAGATCTATAAGATCGTGAATATGGCCAGGCATGGTGGCGCACGCCTTTAATCCCAACACTCGGGAGGCAAAGGCAGGTGGATCTCTGTGAGTTCGAGGCCAGCCTGTGCTCCAGAGCAAGTTCCAGGACGGCCAGGGCTACACAGAGAAACCCTGTCTTGAAAAACAAAAAGGGGTGGGGAATATGAATAAATATCCAGAGCGAGAGTGGAAATACATTTCCTTTCAATGTGCAAATGCTGAAATCTATTTTGTTGAAATAGTTTGTTTCTAATGATATTAGAACTATACTGTACAATTAAAATTTTCAGAAAGTACAGATTACACCAATCTGATCTTTTATGACCTGGCATTTGTGCATCCCTTGAAGGTAAATGTGGCTCCACTGCGGCTTTTCTAACTTTCTGTGAAGTCTTATGTGCAATAAAATAAAGGAGAATAAAGGCGTTTCCTCCATTCAGTGTAAAAGACACCGTTTTGACAAAGATGTCCGCAGTCTTCCTTGGTCAGGATAACTTGGGCCCTCCCCAGCAGCCGTCTTCCTGCTAAGTGTTCCCGTCCTGCCGCCTCCTTTTCTTACGTTGGTTCAATACAGCAAAATGCCTTTGTCTTTTTTTTAATGTTTTTATTCATTTTACATATCAACCACAGATCCCCCTCTCATCCCTCATCTTTTTCTTTTTTAATAATTTATTTTTATTTCATGTGCACTGATGTTTTGCTTAGGTGTCAGGTCCCCTGGAACTGGAGTTATAGACAATCCTGAGCTGCCATGTGGGTGCTGGGAATTGAACCCGGATCCTCTGGAAGAGCAACCAGTGCTCTTAACTGCTGAACCATCTCTCCAGCCCTGTGAAATTTCTTTTTCAACCACCAAATTATTAATGATTGAGCCTCAAATTACTTAATCATGAGAAAGTAATATAAATAACTTTCATTTAATGAGTTACCGAATGGAATTGTTTGACTTGCAGTTATAACAAAACTTAGTAAGGCAGTTGATGTGGCTTCCTGGCTAACGAGGAAATAAACCATACACTGTATTGAAAGATAACCAAAAACTGAGTAGTGATGATCGCATGTGTGTTGATTGTGGTAACTTTGAGCTGGGAAAATGAAGGTATTGACCCTTCATTTTCATAGTTGAGGGTTCAGACCTTGTCTGGAGAGGGCATTGATTTCCTGCTCACTGCAGTATGGTTATACCAGATAACGGGCTGCTTCTGACACCTGTGAGGATGACAGATAGATAACTGTGAAGTCACTCATTGGCAAGAGTACCCTTGCAAAGAAAGAGCGCGGAACTGAGGTGGAAGTTACCGTTCCTCGAGGTTGTTGGAAAACTCCCCACGTTCAAAGGTGGGCAGGGAGCTGAGTGAGCGACATGTCTCTCGGTTATGCTTTCACGGGCTTCCCCAGCCGCCACTAAACCTTCCTTCCCTCCAGAGCTTAGAGTCTCAGCCTCTGCCGGTAGCTTTTGCTTAGAGATCAAATGCCACCTCGGGTTAGATGGAAAGGAAGAACATGGGCCGCCCCTTACTTCCTGTGGAATTTTCCATGTCTGTCAGAAAGGCTTCGGGGTTAAACCATGTGAAGAAATGAGATAAGAATATAAAGATGAGGTGTTGGAGAAGCTTCTGGAGGTTTCGGGAAGACTGCCCAGGTAGGTAGCACTCTCCCTCACTGTCCTTTGTGGGGAAGAATGTGTCACCACACATACTGCAGCAGTTTGTGAAACAGCCTGTCCAGGCCTATTTTCTCCATCTCTACAGAAGAGGAGTTCCATCCTGCTGTTTTCCCCATGAAAATTAAGTGATTTTTTTCAGGGGTCCTCATGATTGTGTGTGAATGAAAATAACATTGCATTTAACTTCCAAATACAGAAAAGCAAGCACAAGTTTCTCTAATTTCAGTAAAGCGACCTGAGTTCTCTAGTCTTGTTCTACATTGTAATCAGGGAGAGAGCTTTCTATTCTACTGCTATTCCCCCAAACAGAAAACACCTGCCAGTATCAAAAAACTAACCCCAAACTATAGCTGCTTTATTCCTATTCTTGACCCACTTACAGCAAGTAACTTAAATATAAAACACTACCCAAAGAAATACGCCATGCTCCTGTGATTAGATGTAAGTTTGGTTTCTCAGTATTGCAGACTCGGGAGTTTCTAGAAATTTCCACATACTATCAACAGCTTGCACATTCAGCATAATAAATACACAGCTGCTCAGACGCCAGGCCCTCTGACTGAGGTTGGCAGGCAGGTGATCTGTCTTGAACACACACTTCTGGGTGTGGTCACAGTGGGACCCCTCCACAAAGGCAAGCCTTGCACAGTTGATGCCTTGAGACCCCTGAACCTGTGACCCCAGTCAGGCGTTGAGAAGCTCATCGTCTGAGTGTCCAATGGCATCTGGGTTGGACAGAGGATCCAAGTCTGCAAATAGATTGAACCAGGCTGACATGTCTTGGTTACCATTGTTGGGGGCTAGTAAAAAGAAAAAAAACAGACATTAAAGAGATTCAGCTTTTGGAAACAATATTTTTGTACTACTTTTGTGATTTTTGAAGCAGATGCTTAATAAAAATAACGTTGGCTGACAATGATTCACTATATCCCCTTAAGGATAATTTTAAAACACAAATGCAAGTAACTTCTGTTTGGTGTCTCTTGGGGATGGTGACAAGGATCATCTTAGAAGGAATTTCAGATGATTTATAGAAGGCTCTCAGATAAGGTTTAAAGTTAAAGTAACTTCTGTTCCTCCCCCACAAAAAAAACACTAAACTCTGCTTAAAACCTCTTTGTTGGGGCTGGAGAGATGGCTCAGTGGTTAAGAGCACTGGCTGCACTTCCAGAGGACCCAGGTTCAATTCCCAGGACCCACGTGGCAGCTCACAGCTGTCTGTAACTCCAGTTCCAGGGGATCTGACACCTTCACACAGACATACATGGAGGCAAAACACCTATGCACACGAAATAAAAAATAAAGCCACGAGGTGGTGACACACGCCTTTAAATCCTGGGAGGCAGAAACAGGTAGATCTGAGTTCAAGGCCAGCCTGGTCTACAGAGCAAGTTCCAAGACAGTCGGGTACACAAAGAAACCCTGTTTTAAAAAACCAAAATAAGTAAATATTACTTTTGTAATACTTTTTATAAATAAGTATTTTATTTACTTCAAAAATATTAGACAAAGGTTAGGAAAATCCCTCCTAACCTTATCATTTATACATCAGGAAGTTGTCTCTTTAATTTTTATTTTGTCTCTTTTGAGACAGAGTCTTGCTGTGTAGCTCAGGCTGGCTTCAGATTTGTGATCCTCTGCCTCAGGCTCCTGAATTTTGGATTACAGGTATGTACCATCATGCCCAATGCTTGTCAAAATATTTGCTAGCAAGGGCTGGGGAGATGGCTCAGCAGGTAAGTGCCAGGTTTGATTCCCAGGGATCATGGAGAGAAACACACATTTTCTCCCTCTCTAAAGGTAATTTTAAAAAATGTAAAACATTTTGATAAGAACACTGTCTCAGACCCTAGTGGCTTTTGTTTGTTTGTGTGGTAGTTTGAATGTAATTGGCCCCCATAATCTCATAGGGAGTGACACTATTGGGAGATGTGGCTTTGTTGGAGGGAGTGTGTCACTCTGCGGGGGTGGACTTTGAGGTTTCCTGTGCTCAGGATGCCGCCCAGTGTTTTAGTTGACTCCCTGTTGCCAGCAAGATCTATGACTCAGCTACCCCTCCCAGCACCACGTATGCCTGCATGCTACCCTGTTCCTTGTCATGATGGTAATGGGCTGAACCCCTGAAACTGTAAGCGAGCCACCCCAATTCAGTATTTTCTTTATAAGAGTTGCTGTGGTCATGGTGTCTCTTCACAGCAATAAGCAAACCCAAACTAAGAAGTTGGTACCAGGGACTGGGGTATTGCTGTGATAGGCCTGACATGATTTTGTTTGGGGTTAATATGGACTTTAGGAGTTTGGGTTGGGAAAGCAGTGGAATGCTTTAAGTGCTGCTTAATGGGCCACACTAGAGGAGCTACCTCAAGAGGTTTCACAGAAGAATTTTAGTGTGTTACCTAGAGATCATTCTTGTGATATTTTGGTGAAGGAAGTGGCTGCTTTTTGCCCTTGTCCAAAGAGTCTGCCTGAGACTAAAGTGAAGAGTTTTGGATTAGTTCTGCTGGCAGAGGAAAGCTCAAAACAGCCTAGTGTGGACTCTGTCATGTGTTTTTTTTTAGCCGTAACGCTAATGAAGATTTGTAATGAAAAGGAGCAAGCTGAGCAGGGTAAATTACAAAATGATTTTTTTTTTTTTTTTCCGAGACAGGGTTTCTCAGTGTAGCTTTGCGCCTTTCCTGGATCTCGCTCTGTAGACCAGGCTGGCCTCGAACTCACAGAGATCCACCTGCCTCTGCCTCCCGAGTGCTGGGATTAAAGGCGTGCACCACCGCCCGGCACAAAAATGAAAATTTTGAGGAAAAAATGAGATAGAGCTAAATTCCGTGTACAAGAAGATAAAGAAAAGTGATAAAGGGAGTGGTAACCTCGGGGCAAGATCCCACCCAGGTAAGTTTCCAACTTGTAGAAAGAAACTAAAGAAAAGCTTAGAACCTGGTGTGGTTGTGCACACCTATACAATCCCAGCACTCGCGAGTCAGAGGCTGGCAGATCTGAGTTTGAGGCCAGCCTGGTCTACAGAGCAAGTTTCAGGACAGCCAAGCTTAGGCAGGAAAGACAGAAAGCTGGTGAAGATGTAATTGAACAAGGGGGCCATGTTCCAGCCCCAGCAAGCAGCAGAACTTGGCAACTTCGGCCACGTGGTTCTGACTTGAGAGTTAAGGATAGAAGGAAAGAGTTATGGAACAAAGTTGCTGAGGCCAGGCATGTGTCAAGGGTGTCCCTGAATGGAGGCCTAAGTAGAGAGGCCATTGCATGAAGCTGTGAAGTTGAAGCCTGGATTACCTTGGAGACCCCAAGATGTTGGAGATGATGCCAGAGTTATGGGAAACTTGCTGAGGAAACCAGCCCAAGAGAGAAGTGTGTTGCAGTCAACAGCACTGAACAGAGTTGGAGTGTTTCCACATCAGACATGGAGATGCAGAGTTTGGAGTTTGCCCAGGGGGTTGGGGGGGAGTTGGTCTTGCTTTGGTCCAGTATTTTCTCACTGTGCTCCCTTCCAAAATTTTGGAATGGTAATGTATCCTGTGCCGTTATATATTGGAAGTATGTGATCTGCTTTTTTATTTTGATTTTACAGGGGATTGCAGTTAAGAGATTGCATGAGTCTCAGGAGAGACTTTGAACTTTGGGACTGTTACTGACTATGGGGACTTCTGAAGTCAGACTAAACGCATTTTGCATTGTGATTATGTCACAGCTTATGGGGGCCAGGGAGTGGAATTTGGTAGGAGGTGTGGCTTTGTTGGAGTGGGTGTGGCCTTGTTGGAGGAAGTGTGTCACTGTGGGGGCAGGTTATGCTCAGGATACTGCCCAGTGTGTCAGTTGACTTCCTGTTGCCTGCAAGATGTAGGACCGTCAGCCATTCTTCCAGCACCACGTCTGCCTGCATGCCACGTGCTCCCCACCATGATGATAATGCATGATGTATAATGGTAATAATGAACCTCTAAAACTGTAGAGCCACCTCAAATGTCTTTTGTTTTTATAAGAGTTGTAATGTTCATGGTGTCTCTTCTCACAGCAATAGAAACCCTAAACTGCCCTGGCTGTCCTGGAACCTGCTCTGTAGACCTGGCTGGCCTCGAACTCACAGAGATCGGCCTGCCTCTGCCTCCTGAGTGCTGGGATTAAAGGTGTGCACCACCCATGGGCAGGCTTTTGGGAGCCCGGTGCCTGCGGTGTGGCAGGTGCAGTGGGAAAGGGCTTGGACCTGCCTCGGCTCAGTGTGCCGGGCTCTGCTGACTCCCCATGGGAGACCTTGATTTGGGGGATGTGGAGATGGGGGGTGGCTTGGGAGTGAGGGCTGGGGTGTGGGTGGTATGTAGGGTGAGTAGAAAATTTCTTAATATAAAAAAAAAATGGAAAAAAAAAACTGGAACATGCTTGAATTTTCATCCAGAAAAAAAAGTGTCCTTTCAATCAGTTGGTAAAAGCATCTGTGCTCAAAAGATTAAGTTGACTTTAAAATGTTCTTTAATAATTAGAATATAAATTAAAGGGTTTTATTACGGCAAAAAAAAAAAGTGTGCACCACACTGCCGGCCAGGGTTTTGTTTCTTTGTTTTTTTTAAATGCATTATCACTCTTCACAAAGCAGTACCCTGCTTTTAAAGAATGGATTGTTTTATTGTATATTTGAGCACCTGCACACCTGGACCTGGAGTTAGACAGTAGGAGCTGCCATGTGGGTGCTGAGAATTGAACCTGGCTCCTCTGGAAGAGCAGCCAGTGCTCTTAACCACTGAGCCATCTCTCCAGCCCCTCAACCCACCATATTATTAATGTTTCAATCCCTCTCATTTCAACACTTCCTAGAACGGAAAGTTTTGTATTTCAGTAGCCTGCAAATTTTCCTGTAATGTATTCAAGGATACATGTTGATACATGAGATCATCCATGGCGATAACAGTGGGTCATTTCAAAAGGCTACTAGTCCCTTGTCTTTGGGTTACTGTTGCTGGGATGAAACGCCATGAGGAAAAGCAATCTGGGGAGGAAAGAAGTCAGGACAGGAACCTGGAGGCAGGAGCTGATGCAGAGGCCACGGAGGGGTGCTGCTTACTGGCTTGTTCCTCATGGCTTGCTCAGCCTGCTTTCTTATAGAACCCAGGACCACCAGTCCAGAAGTGGACCATCCACAGTGGGCTGGGCCCTCCCTCCTCAATCACCAATTAAGAAAATGCCCTCCAGCTTGCCTGCAGCCTGATCTTACGGAGACTTTCTCCCAGTTGACGCTCCCTTCTCTCTGATGATAGCTCACGTCAAGTTGACATAAAGCCAGCTAGGACTTCCCTGAAGGACAAGGAGTCTAGAAACCATGACAGGGGCCTGGGGGACAATCCAGGACCTGGATATGCACTGGGTCACAATCACAGGGAGATAAATGTGGTCCACCTCAGAACAGAGTCAAGGAACCCTCTGTGCTGTGTCTGAGGCCCCGTGTGTCAGGGCAGACTGCGGCTTCGCTGTGTTTGGGTCCAGCTCCAGTTCTGGGAACTGAGGTCATGTCAGCTCTGCACATGCAAGGACAGCTCTGAGCCCTGGGTGTTCCACTTCAGTGAGTCATGCCGGGCACGTTTCCGCCTCAGCTTCACAGTCAGACAGAACCACTTACATAGGACATGGGAGAGCAAGCAGAGAGACTGCTGCTGATCACGGCCGTGCCCAACACCTTCGTGATGAGTGTGTAAAAATTATAAGACGGAAAATGGATTTCGTTATCTGTGATTAGAAAAAGAAACAAAACTCGGGTGATGGTGGCACACACCTTTAATCCCAGCACTCAGGAGGCAGAGGCAGGTGGATCTCTATGAGTTCGAAGCCAGCCTGGTCTATAGAGTGAGTTCCAGGACAACCAGGACTGCACAGAGAAACCCTGTCTCAAAAAACAAAACAACAAAGAAAAAAAATATTTTTTTTTTTTTGAGAGAAAGGTGGTTTCGAACTCATGGCAGTCCTCCTGCCTCACCCTCCCATTCTGGTAAAATGACATCATTCTGGTCACTCCTCATTCCCACCCCTGGGAAACTGAGCAGCAGTATTGTGGTGAATCTCATGCATCTATTTTGGTTAATATCTAAATGAATTTGTCTGTCTAGTTAGGGATGGAATTGCTTAATGATAAATATATGTATGTCCAGGTAAAGCAGAAACTGCAAAACCATTTTTCCTAATAGTATTACATTTAATTTGTGCTTCTTTAATCTGTACTCTGTAAGGCTTTCTTTCTTGCCGCATCCTTGTGAACAAGGGGATTGTCTTCTCATTTTAGCCACAGTGTTGCATTCTTAGGTTTTTTAATGTTTTGTTGGGGCTGGCTTGTTGCTGTTTTGTCTCTGTAACACAGTCTTGCTGCATAGCTTGGGGTGGCCTCTGACCAGCTGTAGCCTGTGCTGGCCTGGCTCTTCCTGCTCGCGTCTTTGAGTACTGGCATCTGGGGATTAAAGGAAGTGCTGTCTCGCCTGGCTTTCCCATCTGTGTTGCTGTTTTAATGGTGTTGGACTGAACCCACACCTGCACGTGCTAGGTAGGCACTCTACTTCTGAGCTAGCTCTGGGTCCTGAATTTCAGCTTCAATTCGCATTCAATGATTAATGAATTGGCACACTTAATAAGTTAAATTCCCCCCCCCCCCCTTTGTTTTTAAAGACAGGGTTTCTCTGTTTAACTCCTGGCTGTCCTGGAACTTACTCTGTAGACCAGGCTGAACTCAGAGACCTGCCTTCTGAATGCTAGGATTAAAGGTATGTGCCACCACTGCCCCGCATGAGTTAATTTCTAAGTTATCAGATTTTCCATTATTACTTTATGCCCAGAGCTGAGAGCTACCTTTTTCCTGCTGTTCCTTCCCCCACAAAGCAAAGCAGCCTGGCTACAGGGCCTTTCTCAGGACCTCTGCTTGGTTTTTTTGTTGTTGGTTTTGTTTGAGACTGAGACTCACTATGTGGACCAGGCTGGTCTTGAACTCACAAAGATCCACCTGCCTTCGCCTCCCGAGGGCTGGATTACAGGCGTGCACCACTGTGCCCGGCAATATCTTTGCTTTCTGTGTACTATGAGCCGTGACTACCTGCCGCATGTAATGCTTGGTCCTCAGTCATCCCACACTGGGAGGTGGTGGATCCTTTAGGAGCGGTGGGCTGAGGACCAGGGTGCAGCTCAGTAACAGGGCACCACATGGGAGGGAAGTGATGTCACTGCTGGCCACTGGGACTGCAGCCTTGGCTCCCGGGAGGTAAACAGGCCTCCTTCAGCATGTCCCTGTTGCCTGTGCAGAAGCAGTGGCCAACTGACCATGGACTAAAACTCTTCAACCCTGAGCCAGGACACAGTAAGGTGCTAACTAGCAGGTGTACAGGAGAGGAAAAAGGAGACCTCAGTCCAGGCTGAGGGTGCAGCTGACGGGTGGTCCAGCATGGAAAGGCCCTACCTAGTTCTACGCCAGCACCAGAGAGAGAGAGATGGGGGAGAAAGGAGGAAAATTACAATTCAACAACAACCACAATAATAAACATTATGTAAAAATTACTAATGATTGAGATGTGGTGGCCTTTACCTGTAATCCTAGTTCTCGGGAGGTTGAGACTGGAAAATCAAGAGTTCAAGGCCAGCCTGGCTACACAGCGAAATCGCTGTCTGCCATTTAAATGACTTCAGTTCAGAACACACAGAATACAGAGTGAGGTATGGCTTGCAGGAATTATGGTTGCCAAATATGACAACATCTGAAAAACCTAATCAAAAAATACATGGGGATACTTTAATTTTTAGTTTTTCATAATGCTGATTTATTGAAAAATTTTGAAGTATTGGTATAATAAGAACTTGGACGTCTGCCCAAAAGACCTTCCATAGGCAAACACTTGAGAAATTTGAGCACAAAATGATTAAGTATAGTGATAATTATAAACCACAGAAAAATATGAATTCAGATCTATAATAGATTATGAATGGGAAGAGAAGTCTGTTTAGAGCAGTGTGAACCAATGTGCTACCCTGTGTTAGGCAGGACACTGGCTATCCTTATGCAGCAAATGCTGTGGTACTCGCTGTAGGATGAATGACCTCTGAGGTCCGTCCTGCTACATGAAGTGCCCTGTCACCGAAACCCAAAGCCTGTCTGTCGTTCCAGGGGCACGGAGTATCTGAAGCAGTGAGATCCGTACACACCTGCAATCCCACGGATCGGAGGTTGTATCCTAGGTGCCTAGACATTCCTGTCTACAGGCATCATGCAGTCCAAGGCATCTTCTGAGCTGGGTTTGCCCAGTGATGGAGCACACGCTACCACAGATGATGCCTGGTTTTTTCCTTCACACTATGAGGCAAAGTGGTCCTTTTCTAAATTCTCCTGAATCTCACTGAGTATTAATACAGTGAAAAGAAGTGACTTACATTTTAATTTCTTTGGACTCTGTGAAGGCACTGGCAGGTTATCTGAGTGTTCTGATCCCTCTTGGGAGACCCAGCCTTTGGAGGGAGGAAAGACAGAGAAACAAGAAAGAGTCAAAAGCTGGATCCTCCTGTCTGCCAGAGGTAAGCACCTGATGAGCGCCATCTCCTTAGTCTCTGCCTTTTGATGGGGAGTGAAGAGTGTTTACAGACATTGAGAGAGGTTTGCAAACTTGTACACTTTTTTTTCCTGGTTTGTTGGATTACTGATTTTGCTTCCTTTCCTTAGTTGTTATTAAGGATTGCTGGTTTACTGTGCTAGGCGTGGTGGGCTAATCATGCCTATTCTTACTTTTAGGATAGTCAACAAATCTCTAATGATTAATCACTTCACACATGCCTTTGGTTTGCCTTTCGATAAGTATGAAGAGCAAGGATTTACTGTAAAGCACAAAACATGACTGCTGCAGGGGGTCATGGGAGTTTAAGAGATGAGATCCGGGGCTATAAGGGAGGCTGTACTACCACTACAGCTGTGGAAACAGGAAACAACCACTGGAGTCCCAGAAAATGTGGGCCCCACTTCCATGTGCCTCAGAAAGTTCAAGGATTGGATTAGAAGTCCACAGCTCAGACTCCTGTCTGAACTCACGTGAAGGCTGAACGGGGCTAAAGAGGCAATAGTGGCCGGTGCTGCCGCACCCCTTTAATCCCAGCACTCCTGAGGCGGAGGCCCGCCTGTCTACAGAGCAAGTTCCAGGAGAGCAGGGCTACCCAGAGAAATGCGGTCTCAAAAATCCGAAGAAGATGGTGCCCTGGGGATCTGGAAGTACTTAACTCGGTGGTTGACAATGGTACTTTGAAGTGAGTCTGGAGGTAAGAGAGCAGATGCAGACGGGTTTTTATCCTACAGCTCATGCTGCTGTGCTTTTATACAAATGGAAGCGGCATGCTGACCCGAGTCTGGGAAGTGACTAGAGGAGTGTGGAGGAGGAGCTGAGAGGCCCGAGACCTGTTGGACTCTCTTGCAGCAGCACAGACAACCAAGTGAGTTCCGAGTGGAGTGGAGACTGGACGGGCTCAGTTTGAGACCAGCACAGACGAGGAGCAAAATTACTCCCAAGGTGCAGCCCTGATACAGGGCCACCGTGGGGTTGCTGGTGACTCCTTCTCTAGGACAGCCCTCTGCCCCACACCCCAGCTCTCTCCAGTGTCTGCCACTCCTGCTGCCCCTTCCTCTTCCTCTCTTCCTCTCTCCATCCCTCCCTCCCCCACCTCTCTAATTCTGAACCCTGCAGGAAAAAACACACTAAATTTTGCTTGGGGTGGTGCTGGCATCCCCTGGCCCAGGAGTGGTTTAGTAGATCAGTGTTGTAAACCGGACACTGGGCCGTCAGTGTGGAACACATGGGTTTGGTGGAGGATGCGAGGAGACAGCCCTTGTTTCAGACTTGCTGACAGCTGTAGTGTGATTTAGAGTTGATATTTTTCCTGTTGATTGGTAGGACTGCAGATTTTACCTAGAGTGGTGAAGTTAAAATCTATTTCCCTTGATTCTAGCTTCAGTAACCACAGTAGTTTGGCTTAGCAGACACAAAGCCCATGTCCAAATGTCTCATCATCACTTACTGTTGAACGCTCCAGCATGAAGGCCAAGGTCAAAGAGCTGTGAGGGAAGGAACTGGGAGGGGTAGGAGAGAGGCCCGGACCCCACTGGAGGCTCCTGGGAGGTGAGGGAGGTGAGGCCAGCGCTGGGGCTCCTGCAGGCCGTCTGGCACTCCTGTGTAAATTCACCAGCACTTGAAGGCGTGGGGCTTAGGAGGCTGTTCAGAAATGAGAATTCCTTTTCAAAATCGTCTCCTTCCAGCGAGTCTCTCGGCAGAGTTCTTGCAGCTGCTGGTTGAGAACAAAAAGAGCAAGGGCTTACTTCCTTTTGAGGAAATGAGAGCAGGACATAGGAGAACTGATTCGGTTTTCCTTTATGGCTTTAACATGATTTTAGAACAACTATATTGATTAGAAGTCTTCAGTTATTTCTAACAAGACAGGATTGAGATCAAAATGGTCAAGTCAGTTGTGAATGCCCATGAACACGTAAGCTAAGAACACAGACGGACACAAGCCTGTGCAGGAGTAAGGAACACGGAGTGAGGTGATGCTCTGACGCCGACGAGTGCTGGAAACCCATGGGAACTGACTCGTGCACATAGACGCAGCATGCTCATGAAGTAGAGGCGATAAACAACGTGCTTTGATCACAGTGTAGTAAAACAATGTTCAAGCTAGAAGATAAGTTCTTTTACTGATAAGTTTTAAAACCTTCAGTGAAACAATTTTAGCGGAAAGAAAAAACTTCCAGAAACACTATGGTAATATTTCATAATCCATGTGATAAATACCAAGAATGAAGGAGAGGTTGTGGTGACCTTCACAGGGCCTTCACTCCAGTATAATTAGTAAAAGTCCCGGGACTATTCAGGATATGAAATAACCCCAAAAAACATGTACTTAAAAGCTCCAGAATTCAGGAAGAACTGGAGAACCTGTGGTATTTATACTGGGAACAGCCCTCACCCACCATAACCATTCTAGCCTGGAATACCCAGTCTCACTTGAGGGGCTCCCCCGACCCCCACCACCATTTCACAATCTGTCCTTTTACCTGAGGCTAAATTCCATAACTACAGTCAAGAGCCGAGGCTCCCATCACCCCCAGACCTCTTCGGATAGACACTGAGTGGTGGATCGGAGGACAGGATTAAGGAGACGTGAGAGGAGCAGGAACTGCTCACCGGAGTTCGGTTGAAGGCCCTCGCCAGCAAGCAGCAGAGGTCGGCACAAGGAACTTTCCCGTAAGTTCTTTCTCCATCTCAGCTGACGCCCAGAAAGCCTGTGTGACCCTATCGGCTGCAGGTTTTGCCTTACAATGTCTAATTCTGTCAGGGCATCTGCGTAGGCTCCATATACTCTCACTTGTCAGAGTTTCTTTTCTTTCCTTTGTCTTTTTTTTTTTTTTTAAAAATCCCAAGTGCTGGGATTAAAGACATATGCCACCACCACCTAGCTGAGAAAGGTTTCTTAACTTTTTGACATGTAACTTCATCGAGCTAATGCTAACGCAGTTAATTGCAACTCTCCCTTGAGAAGCCCATGCTTGGGTCTTGTTTTTTCCCTGAGCATCTCACTATTGCATGCATGCTTAAAATCTTTGTAAAATATGACTTTTCATAAACTACAACTCAGAAATCACCTGCCTCTGCCTCCCAGGGATGGGGTTAAAGGCATGTGCCACCCTCACCTGGCCAGAATTTTTAACTGAGTGTATTTTTTTATCAGTGTTTCTATGTGCGTGTACGGTCGCATGTGTGTGAAGATCTTAGGTCACTTTCAAGGAGTAGGTTCTGTTATGGCTAAAGAAGCACCATTTTATGCTAGACCTCCATCTTGGTACCCACCAACCCTTTGTCACTGACTCCAGTGCCCAGTAACCCTGACTCAATGACCCCACACAAAAATGTACAGCTGTGATTATCTACTCGTTAGGATATGGCTGCTTTTCTTGCATCTGTAACTTGCTTACATAGATACCCCAAAGACTTGTTTTGAGTTGCCTTAATTGCTTAACTTGGCAGCCAGAAGAGTTTTTATTTGCTTGCATAGATATGGAAGGTCTTCCTGTGATTTTCCCCTTTAAAAATCCTTTCCCATACTGCTTGATGGCAATCTCAAATTCGGCTCAGAGATTGTCATCCTGCTAGCAGCTAATGAATAGATCTTTTAATTATAATTGGATTCCGTCTGTGGTCTTTTCCCAGGGGTTCCCTTCCTCCACCTTGTGGTTCCTGGGCAGTGAACTCCGGGCATCATGTTTGGCGGCAGGTGCCATCACCGGCTGAGCCATTCCGATTCCCCGCATGGGTGCTGAAGATCCAAACTCAGGTCCTCCTCCTTGTGTAATTATATTGACTGAGCCATCTGCCCAACCCCTGTCTCAGTTTTTAATTATTATTTTATGTGTATGAGTGTTTTGCCTACATGTATGTACATGTACCAGTGAGCATGCTTGGTGTCCATGGAGGTCAAAAGAATTGTCAGATCCCCTGGAACTGGAGTTATAGATGGTTGTGAGCCACCAAGTGGGTGTTGGGAATCGAACCTGGGTCCTCTGGAAGAGCAGCCAATGCTCTTAACCACTGAACCATCTCTTCATCTCCACTATTAATATTTAAAGATTTACTTATTTGTGTATATGAGTGCTTTTGTCTGCATGTACATCTGTATACTAGAAGGGGGCATTAGAATTCATGAAACTACAGTTACAGATGTTGTGAGCTGCTATATGGGTCCTGGGAATTGAACTCAGGACCTCTTAACCTCTGAGCTGTCTCTCCTAATATTTTTAATAAGACTCCAATTCTGCTTCATACTAGCTAGCTCTGGAATTCTTTTCTGAAGCCATAAACCTTGGGTTTCCCTGAGTTGGGGGTCCCTAAAACATTTAGGGGTGTCTCTTCATGGAGCTGGAGGTGACGATAGAGCTGAGCTCCTGTCCCTCACCACTGACATGGTCCTTGGCCCTGCAGAGGAAATGGTGGTTTCAGGCCAAGAGCACCTAAGGTCTAGCTACCCCTCCTCACAAGCACTCAGCTTCAAAAGCCACTCAGAAGCACACCACTACTGCCCATGCTCCAGCTCAACCATCCAACAAAGAAGAGAGGATTCCTAACCTTCCCAAAGAAACTCCATGCTCAAACAACTGCAGAGAATTCAAGCCGAAGAATATTCTCAGAGATAGTGGAGCTATGCTAAGAGACCCAGGAAAAAGATAATCTTGCTGGACATATAGGCTAAACCATGGCCAGCTACTTTGCCTGGAAGAACCAGGAGGGAAGCTGGCTGGGGTCAGAACAACTGACTTTGGGGACTCTATATATATAGAGTCCAAGTTTGACTGCTTGGTGTGTGCAAATTTGTACTGTAACATTCCTGAAGTCAGTAGAGCGGACTAGCCAAGTGTGGTCAGGGGAAGATTTCAAAACGGACAAAGTTGCTGCCACAGGCATCTGACCCTGAGCTGAGGAGAGGGGAAGATGATGAACAGACCCCATTAAAATCATACCTCATCTTACTAAAAAACAAGCAAATAATAAGTGGGAGACTAACACCCCGAGTTACTAAAACACGCTTACAAAATCCAGTTTTCAGCAAATGCTCATGGGGCATGTACTAGCAAGAAGGCAAAAAACTAGAAGTTCTGTGCGACACTGACTAAAGGTCACATTTAATACTCAAACTTCCAGTCACTTAGCTATTCAGCGAACTAAAGGAATCCGTGATAAGATACGTAAGAGAAGGAGAGGAGCAGCAAGCTGGTGGCTAAGCCCCAGAGACCGAGCAGATGGGATGGGGAATGGGCTCTTCCACAGATGCCAGCTTGGAGCTTGGCTTGCACTCACTATCTTTCCAAGGGCGAGCCAGGACTCAACGGCAGTGCCTGGTTGTAGAATGGTAACAACAGGCCGGGCGGTGGTGGCGCACGCCTTTAATCCCAGCACTCGGGAGGCAGAGCCAGGCGGATCTCTGTGAGTTCGAGGCCAGCCTGGACTACCAAGTGAGTTCCTGGAAAGGCGCAAAGCTACACAGAGAAACCCTGTCTCGAAAAAACAAAAACAAAAACAAAAACAAAAAAAAAAAAAGAATGGTAACAACAGTAAGAATAGATTGAAGACGACAGGAAGCATTTCTTGCTTCAACCCTCCCCAACTCCAAGAAGCTCACAGGAAGAGGGGGGTGCAGATAACCTGCCCTTTAGGAGAAGGGTCTAAATTAAGTGCAAGCCTTAGCTTGAAATCTGGTACTAGGTTCACTAGGTGAAACCCAGTGACAGACAGATGGTCCCATGGTCCCTGCCACTAGCACCACCAACTGATGCTCTAGCCCCGTGGTTCTCAACCTTCCTCAGGTTGCGACCCTTTAATACAGTTCTTCATGTTGTGGTAACCCCCAAACATAAAATATTTTGTTGCTACTTCCTAACTGTAATTTTGCTACTGTTATGAATCATAATGTAAATACCCATGCTTTCCAATGGTCTTAGGCAACCCCTGTGAAAGTGTGATTCAAGTCCCAAAGGGGTTGCATTCCACAGATTGAGAACCATTGTTCTAGCCTTTAGCCAGACTGCCAAGTAACTATCCATCAGCCCTCCCCATCCAGACGTAAACACTGTGGCTCAGAGCAGGGAAGTAATCCCAGGACTTCACCTTAGAGCTCACTATAGGGCCCCCTGGGTGAAACCCAGCAGTAGGAAGACCTGAGGACTCTATCCTTAGGTCAGCTCTCAAGAGAGAGCCATCCGATCTGCAGTGGCATCAGGTGAAGACCCCACTCCGGTGGGCTGCATCTCTGTGAGCACTACACCCGTGCTTGGTGAACAGGCTCAAACTTGCACTGGTCTCTGTGGCAGAACCTAGCTTAGTATCATTTGGGCCAAGTGACTACTACCAACGTTCCCAAATTTGGTAGGCATGAGGCAAGACTGTTTGAAATGTGATTGCTGGCTGATAATCACCCAACATTGGGGCAGTCCTAATGATCCCTGTCCCTAGGCCAGTGCTGAGGACAAGCCTCAGGGCCTGCCCTAGTGTCAGGGAGACCCTGGGCTCATGTTGATTAGACTTACAGTCTGTCTGGCATTAACAAGCTATTCACAGTAGTTTTGGACCGTGAGTTCACCAGCAGCAGCAGAGAGTCCATTTTGGTCCTAACCCTGTCCTTCCCACTGCTGGTCTTAGGCTGTCGGACCCAACTATGACCTGGTATTTCAATGTTGGTCACTACAGGACTACCTACCCCATTTTTCACCAAATGACAGCCATCATAATACAGAAGGCATCTGTCCATAAGGAAAGTAGATGTCAACTTACTGCATAAGAGCCTGGGGCTGGCGCCTCCGATGATACGCACAGTAAGGGGGAATACTGTGGTGCCTGATTACAGGCCAGTGACAATGGATGGCATCCTGGAGTGGGAGCTACATCGCGTTGAGAGCTGCCATGTGGGTGCTGGAAACCAAACCCAGGTCCTCTGCAAGAGCAGTCAGTGCTCTTCAGCCGCTGAGCCCGCTCTCCAGCTTCTGTTTTTGGAAGCTAGTGTGTTCACATTTCAGTCTCTGTGACCAGTGTTCAGTTGTTACTATTACAGTATTGCATCGTATAAACACAAGATTTTATTGGTAAGTCTTAAGGTAATCCGCAAAGCAGAAGACTGTAGTTGACACACCAGAAATAGAAAGGACTCAAGGCACACTGAAGGAAAATCAGCCACAGGAAAACTGTAAGATGAGGAGAAACTAGGAAGCCCGTATTAAAGTGGCAGCAGCAGCAAGGGACGTCATGCCGGTGCACACCTTTAATGCCAGCACTCGGGCAGAGATCGGCCTGGTCTACACAGCGAGTCCCAGGCCAGTCAGGGTCACACAGAGAAACCCTGTCTCCAAAGGGGATGGGGAGGATTGGGACGTGTAGCAAGATCACACCTAGCAATGATTTAAAAATGTAAATGGATCCAATTCTTCCATTAAGTCTGGGACTGGTAACTGAATGTACTTTTTAATAAAAGTCCCAATTATACGTGGCTTAAAGCAATCGGTTGGCTTGAGAAGTGGACAGGATAGAGTTACAAAGTGACAACATTTCAAATGCAGTTTAAACCAGTCTTTTAAAACCATCTTTTAAAAGAGTGTGACAGACTATTCTCCATTAAAACGTGGCCATTTCAGTTTGGTGCATCTACCGTCTTACCTGGTTCTCTCTCAAATCTCTCATCCTCTTCTGACGCTACTCTAAAGTAAAAACAGATTTTGGTTAAAATACATTTGAGGTTCATAGCCCCCAGTTTCATATAATTAAAATTTTAATTCAAGAGGTACATAATACACTTGTCTGGTAGATCAAGTCTGTAACAAAGTGTGTCTTATTTCTGTAGATCTGCACAGGCTGTAAAAACCCTTATTTTTTTTTCTTTTTTTTTTTTTTTTTGTCTCCTCTCCACTCCCCCAACCCCTTGGTTTTTCCAGACAGGGTTTCACTGTGTAGCCCTGGCTGTCCTGGAACTCACCTGGTAGACCAGACTGGCCTCGAACTCAGAGATGCACCTGCCTGTGCTGGGATTAAAAGTGTGCGCCACCACCGCCCTGCTCCCTGCTCGCTCTTTCCACCCCGTCTCAGTAAATAGTAATTCAGAGTCTATATCTGGATCATAGGCACTGGGCTGATACAAGGTTGAATATTCCTAATTTGGAAATCTGAACTCTGGAATGTCCACAGCCTTTTTTTTTTTTTTGGTTTTTCGAGACAGGGTTTCTCTGTGTAGCTTTGCGCCTTTCCTGGAACTCACTTGGTAGCCCAGGCTGGCCTCGAACTCACAGAGATCCACCTGGCTCTGCCTCCCGAGTGCTGGGATTAAAGGCGTGCGCCACCACCGCCCGGCGGTCCACAGCCTTTTGAACAGCAAGATGATAGGCTAAATAGAAAACTTGTTTATCATGAGGCTTGTTTTCTGGACACACTATTTAAAGGAGACTGACGCCCTCTCAGGTCACAAGCACAAGACACATAGAACACACACCAGTTCCTTTCCTCTGCACCCATGTCTTCCTTTCAGTATGATCTTCTAAAAGAGGGGAGGACATGGGTAGAATTATGTAGAAATTTCTGGAGTCTTTGCTCTCACTGAAGAAACCACTGTTACTTGCTCTTTTTTTACTGTGTTTTAGAGTATTGCCCACAGACTTCGGAGCTTATTTTTTGAATTAAAATTATCCTAATCAATTAAAAGAAGATTCAAGAAAGCATAAATGAATTTCAGTTTAGACCTGGATCCCATCCCTAAGATATGTATATGCAAATATACCAAAATTCCTTTTTAAAAGTCTGAAAACTGGCATGCTTGTACAAATACTTTGGGTAAGGGCCCTCACCCTGTGCATCTCAGAGCCTCTGGCTACAGGCTGTGGTGTTTCATTTTTATGCACTAGGGGCTGGGGTGGCCTTTACTTAACTTGTAGGAACTAAACCAAGAGGAGACAAATACCCCACACAAAATGTGACATTCTACTTTGTATAATAAAGTGATATTTGCCAAAGAGAATAAGACAAGCTAGCCTCTGACATCCCTAGTCAATGGTCATTTCCAGTATGTATCTAATATGCTATGCTGAGTTAGTACACCCATGTCACATGAACGGGCATAGAAACCGAAGAGAGATTGAGCTGCTATTCCTGGGCATGGCTTCACAGTTGCCAGTATTGAAGGCTGTTAATATGTCTTTAAAGACACGCAAAGACCAATACAGTGTCAATTTAAAAAAAAATACTAAAAATACCTAGCCAGGCAGTGGTGGTGCATGTCTTTAATCCCAGCATTCAGGAATCAGAGGCAGGCGGATCTCGGTGAGTTCAAGGACAACATAATCTACAGAGTGAGTTCCAGGACAGCCAGGACTGGAACAGAAAAACCTTGTCACAAAAAACAAAAAACCTTTCAGAGTAAGTAATTTAGGATTTGCAATGAAGTTTCTGATGATAGTATATGTATATGATATTTTTAGAACGACTTGGATGAAAGTGTTTGTAAATCTGCTCGGTAACTCAAAAGAATAGCTTTTATACTATTGAAGATACATGACATTTTCAATAAAGCTTCCCTGTGACAATGAAAAACTATTTAGTCATGACTTCTTGTTTTTTGTTTTTTTGGGTTTTTTGAGACAGGCTCTCACTATGTAGCTCTGTTTGACCTGGATCTCGCTCTATAAACCATGCTGGTCTCCAACTCACAGAGACCTGCCTGTCTCTGCTTCCTGATTGCATTCATGATTTTAAATGTCAGCATAGAACAACGGTAAATCTTGTTTATACATTTTATACATGCAAACATTTAGTTTGGATTTCCCATAGAGAAATACTATTGTTGGGATCACCATCCACTCAGCAGTACCTGTCACTCCCGACAGAGTTTGGTGCTGTCAGGAGTGCCGCTGCAGCTAAGCCTGGGCAGAGCACAGGGAAGTGGGCAGGAGCAAGGCCCTTAGCTCCTAGTCTTGGCTGTGTTATTTGGAGATCGATTTCTAACAGCTACTGGTCCTGGACCTGCCTGCGCCCCTGCTGTCCCTTCCAGGCTTCCCGGCTGTGGAACAATCTTTTTCTACACCGTGAATTCGTATGACTCATTGACTAATAAAAAGATGGTTGGCTGATGAGGTGGGCAGGAAGAGATTGAGCTCTTCAGCCAGACTAGGAGAATGCTGGGAAGAGGAAGGGCAGGGTCAGAGGAGTGGCCAGGAAACTCAGATAGCGAGACGTGCTGGGGGACATGTAAAGCCATGAGCCACATGGCAATACACAGATGAATAGAAATGGGTTAATTTAAGTTGTAAGAGCTAGTTAGTAATAAGCCTGAGCTATGGCCGAGCAGTTGTAATTAACATAAGTCAGAGTGGTTATTGGGATCTGGCAGGTGGGAAAGGAATATTCGCCTACACTTCCCTACAGTACTCAGTTCTTAACACAATGCACATTCTTCCTCATGACGGAAGCCTGGAGTTGTCACCACAGTTGACTGGTACTGTTATCTCCTGTGCCTACCATGTTGACTGCAGGAGAATACAGCAACTGCTTGTGTTGTTTGGAAAAGTGACATAGAGTCAGCACTCTGTGAGCCAGAGAGGAGATGCATGCAGGGACTCCCCAGCAGCAGAGGCAGCTTTCCCCTACTTACTTATTGCGGTCGGCAGTGAGAGGGCTGCCGTCTGCTGCTTCTTCACTGTAGTCTGCAGTGAGATTGCCTGGCGTGTCCTGTAGTCGCTAAGGATATGACATTTAATGTTCAGGAGATTGAAAAAATCTATTTCTTTTTACAAAGAGAGAGTGAAAACTTTAGACAATATAAAATAGAAGTAGTTCTGAATAGAGAGTGAGAGCTGTGGGAATGTGGGTGGGTGTGATTTACACTGAGCCTCTTGCACGCAGTTCTTCATCCTGGCTGCCTGTGGAAAGGTTAGCCTTGGGGAAAGGTCAGCAACTTGTGATAGGTCCAAAGAAAACACACTGCCCTGTCAGCCTGTACTGTAATCCTCAATACATAACTAAAGATGTTCTTCAATTCTGAGGAGAAATTAGGCATATAATTTTGACATTATTCACTGAAGCATTTATATGTTGGTTGGTTGGTTGGTTGGTTTTTTGAGACAGGGTTTCTCCATGTAGTTTTGGTGCCTGTCCTGGATCTCGCTCTGTAGACCAGGTTGGCCTCGAACTCACAGAGATCCACCTGGCTCTGCCTCCCGAGTGCTAGGATTAAATGTGTGCCACCGCCACCTGACTTAAGAGCTCAGCTCTTAATCCTGAGCCACTGCCTCCAGCTATGTGTCTCTTCTGCATCCTCTCTTCTTCCCTCTTCTATCATACTAGTACCTCAGCCTGCAAGGTTCCTGTGTATTTCAGTCCTACTGCTGGCTTTGGAACCTAGAGAGTACGGATCACCTAGAGAGCAGTGGGGGTAAATGTTTCCCAAGGTTTCATGGGTTTAAAACTAACCTGAGCCAAAGAAAGTTTCAATGTTATCACTTAATGAAGTGTGATACAGCTAAAGAAGAGAACCTGAAGACATACCTTGAGAGCTATGAAGTCATACGGATGAAAGCCAGCACAGGCCTCCTGGATTTGAGACATCATTTGAGCTGTTTTCTTCCAGAACCCAAGCAATGTTCTCTGTGGAAAAAGGAAAGGCAACACTACAGTTCTGCCCTAAGATCTGTTTCCTTACTGCTGTGGTACTCAGTAACCGACAGGAACTGATCCAACTGTCCCAGGTATAGGGAACAGAAAGAACTGTAGATCACAATTCTTCATTAATAAGAGAAAGAAAACCAATGGTTCTAAAAGCCTAGGAATCCAAAACAGAAACACCAAAGGCGTAAAAACACCAATCTCTGTATGTGTGATCTTTAATGTTAACATATATAAGCATTTATGTGTATAGCATATTTATATATATATTTAGGCATGGTGTGCCTAAAGAGGTCAGAGAACACCTTGTGGGAGCTGGTCCTCTCCTTCCACCATGTGGGTCCCAGGGATCAAATTCAGGTCATCAGGCTTGACAGCAAACATCTTCACTTGCTGAGCCATCTCATTGGCCCATAGAAGCCTTTTTTGTGTTTTGTTTTGCTTCGTGAGACATTCTTACTGTGTAGCCTTGGCTGGCCTGGAACTTGGTATGTAGACCAGGATGTCCACAAACTCACAGAAATTCACCTCTGAATCCTGAGTGCTCGGATTAAAGGTGTGTGCCTTTCCTTTTTTTTTCCTCTTTCTTCCTTCCTTTCCCCTTCCCCCTCTTCCCCTCCCCCTTCCCCCTTCCCCCTTTCCCCCTCCCCCCTCCCCCTTCCCCCTCCTCCCCTTTCTCCCTTTTCCCCCTCTTCCCCTTCTTCCCCTTCTTTCTCTTCCTGGTTTTTTGTTTTGTTTTGTTTGTTTTTTGTTTTTATGAGACAGGGTTTCTCTGTGTAATCCTGGAACTTGCTCTATAGACCAGGCTGGTCTAGAACTCACAGAGATTCACCTGCCTCTGCTTCCTGAGTGTTGGGATTAAAGGTGTGTGCCACTACCACCCCATAAGTATCATTTTATTACAGGAAATATTATTAAATTTTGCCTTTCATTAAGGGCTCAAGAAAGACTTGACCTTTCATGTGTTATTGAGCTAACTCAGGTAATTTGTAATCTTCCTTGTTGCTTCAAGATTCCTGTTGCAAGACAAGGCTGAATGGAGGAGTACCAGGCTAGTAGCTGTTAAATTACAGATTGCCATTGCTCTCGTTGTCAAGGACATCTTTTTTTGAGTCTGGACTCCATAGCACTAAACTGAATTAGGAATACTGCTTTAAAACAGCAATGAATAACCACCTCCTTTCACTGATTCTTTCCTCATTCAAATACAGTTTCCTACATGCTATTTTGAAATACACATTAAAGTCAGCACTTACTACTGTGTAAACAGCATTCATTGTAGATTATTCATGTGACATGAGGGCAACATCTGTGCAGGTGAGTGTTGCAGAATATTTGTTTAACTATGTAAAGATGTGGTGCATTTGTTTAAGTAAAGGGGTGTTGTTGTTTTATCTTGCCTATTTAAGGCACCCAATTGGTCTAATAAAAAGCCGAACAGCCAATAGCAAGGGAGGAGGTACAGGCAGGACTTCTGGGCAGGAAGAGTAAGTAGGAGGAGGAATTTAGGCCAGGGGAAGAAAAAGATGCCAGAGAGATCCCAGGGGCCAGACAGACAGACAGATATGGAGGAAGCAGGAAAGTAGGACATACAGAATGAAAGAAATGTAAAAGCCCTGAGGCAAAACATACATGAATAGAAGCAGGTTAAATTAAGTTAAAAGAACTAGTGGGACAAACCTAAGCTAAGGCCGAGCATTGACAATTAATAATAAATCTGTATTTGAGAGCTTGTTGGCAGCCCAAAGAAAATTCCAACTACAAATGGCGCCCAACGTGGGGCTCAAATTGCCACCTAGGGCCTGAGAAAGCTGAAGAAAAAATACAAAAACTGGATATGGTTCCTTTAAGAGGCACTGCCATGCAGCAGAGCGCTTGAGCAGCTGGCACACTAAGTAGAAACAGTGAGCTAAGTCAACACGCCTGCCACTGTGCAGGTGCCAACTTCGTAGAGCAGAGGTGCTTAAATGCAGCTCCCAGTTAAAGAGCTCTCAGCCAGGCTCACCTGCTTAAGGCTCCCTTCTCACGGACCCTAGGAGTTGGTGGAGCCATGTTACAGAGGGCCTAGCTGCTGCCTAGTGGTTTAAGGTTTGGCTCACACTGTTGGAGAACACTACAGGTGCATAGTAAAACAGGTCCAGACTGGGAAGAAAAAAAAACTTTAAAAAGGGTACAGTGTGCATAGATGCTTAAGAAAAAAGGTATAGGCCGGGCAGTGCTGGTGCACACCTTTAATCCCAGCACTTGGCAGGCAGAGGCAGGTGGATCTCTGAGTTTGAGGCCAGCCTGGTCTACAGAGCAAGATCCAGGACAGGCTCTAAAGCTACACAGAGAAACCCTGTCTTGAAAAACCAAAAAAAAATTTTTTTGAATGCTGATGAGTGAACAACAGCCGCTGAGAGACATGGGATTCTTAAAGGGACTGCTGAATTAAACCAGCCTAGATACTTGAGGGATGTCTTAACTTTAAAATGGAAGTCAGAAAATGTATTGCATTGGGGGAGAGGTTATGCTTTTGTTTCCACAGGAAATGAAAGCCCGTGGATTCCTTCAAAAATCAATAGAGACCAGATTTGATTGAGGGAGAACCCCTTAAAATCTTGACTATAGACATGACATAAAAAAATAAACGTAGAAAAACTACAAGACAGGTGACACATGCTGATCCCTTGATATGGGAACAGCTCTGAGAGTGGGTGAGACATAAATCTTGTTGGCTACAGAGTCCTCATTACTGATCATTACATGTCATCCTTTCATATGGCATGGATAGAATTCGGGTTATACAAATTTATAAAACAAACTTACAAAGTTGACATGTCTTTTACCTGCTCAAACAGAAAACAAAAAATCATCTTTTACTGGCTTGTGTACAACACACAGCCTATACTTGTGTTAATGCAGATATGTATGTTACCTTTGAAAGTTTGTGTTTTCAAAGCAAGGGGACCAGACACCAATGAAAATGAGTGGCCCAGGTGATGCAGCTTCTCACAGTGCCTCTGTTGCAGTTTCCTCAGAGTTCTGTATTCAGAACTACTTCAAGGCTGAAGTTCAGCCTCACAGACTATTCTAGCCAGGACTTCAGATATACCTGCACTTTCTCATTACACAGAGACTGAATAACTAGTGTTATGGCCAGTTTTCTTAGGACTTGACCATTATCTTAATTTTCTCAGGGTCCCCTGGGGATGCCATCACCTCCAGATAACAGGAAGCAGTCTAGAGAATACAACACCCACATTCCCAAGAGGTGGGGTGGGTGGTTTTTGGTCATTCAGTCGGTTATGGATGTTTGTCATCATTTAGTGGGGATATAGGAATATAGGATAAAAACACAACTATTCATCTCAAATATTTTACATTGGTATGGATTTTTGTATACTGATACAAATTTAAGGTTATTTTTGTTTTATATATATATATAGATAGATCATAGATCTATATATATATCTACTCTTAAGATATTGTACTATGCAGCTTATTTAAAAATGTAATATAAAGTTCTAGTCCTTGAAAGCTATTATTACAAACTGTTTAAGAAATGCAAGTTAGCAGTTAGTCATCTATAACAATCAAACTTGTAGTCATGTTAGGTATGTTTTCAAGGTCAAACAGGTATATTTTAAATAGACAAATAGATGATCTTCAAACATTTCAGAGACCTACAGAATATGGCATTTAAGATGTTAAATACCTAAGGCTTTTCATTACAGTAAGACATGTCTGCTCCTGGCAGCACCAATTTACTTTATAAAAAGATGATGGCATCGAAGAGCGTCCATATGGAGTTTGCTTTCGTTGTGACAAAGCTACCATTTGGGCAAGAACCTGCCCTTGTCTCGACTGCTGACAGTATATTGTACAAACTGGATAAGCAGGAAACAAAGGAAAAAGACTGCCAAACTTGGCCAAGACAGTATGGGACAGTCCTTCAAAATTCCTGCTTCAAAGAAAAGTATGTCAGAGAGACTAGGCCTGTAGGTCAAAGATGGATACCCCAGTGTTGCAGAGGAACCTCGGGTGACTGTCCAGGCAGCCAGGTGTCTCTGTCATTTCTATAGTTTTGAAATTTGCTTGTTCTGTACTTCCTGTTTACTCGAATAATATTATCTCCTTCTCTGGTCTCTGATGGAGTTGAAGATGAGATAGTTATAGTTTCCCTTGTTACCAGAGTCAGAAAAGAAACTCACATAGAGATGTAAAGTTTAGGGGGTTGAGAAACATAAAAGTTAAATTGTCTATCTAAGAAAATGTTTTGAGGTCTAAAAAGATGGTTTTGAGTTAGTGATATAGGTTAGGATAGAAAGTGGTTTAGGTACGCAACTTTGGACTCACCAAGGAGTATTTTCTCTGATTTTGCCAAATATAGTTGGACTGGATACTGTAAATGTAATTCTTACTTGGTAATTGTTCTTAATGTATATAGTCTTATTATGTTAAAACTAAAACCTTTCTTTGTATTTAGACCAAAAAGGGGGAAATGTTATTAAATACTTGTTTAACTATGTAAAGTTGTATTGCATATATTTATTTTGTGGAATATTTGTTTAACTATGTAAAGATGTGTTGCATTTGTTTAACTATGTAAAGATGTGTTGTATTTGTTTAACTATGTACAGATGTGTTGCATTTGTTTAACTACCTTGCTTGCCTAAGGCACCTGACTGGTCTAATAAAAAGCTGAACAGGCAATAGTGAGGGAGGAGGTATAGGCGGGACTTCTGGGCAGGAAGAGAAAGTAGGAGGAGGAATTTAGGCTCCAGGGAAGAAAGAAAAGAGATGCCAGAGAGATGCAAGGGGACAGACAGACAGACATACAGACATGGAAGAAGCAGAAAAGTAGGACATACAGAATAAAAGAAAGGTAAAAGCCCTGAGGCAAAACATACATGAATAGAAGCAGGTTAAATTAAAAGAGCTAGTGGGACAAGCCTAAGATAAGGCTGAGCATTCATAATTAATAGTAAGTCTCTGTCTTTATTTGGGAGCTGGTTGGCTGCCCAAAGAAAATTCTAACTACAGGTGAGACTTTTGAAGTTAAACTTGGGTAGGATGGCAGCTTGGCGGAATGAAAGGCATACATACATGACCTTAGTTTGCAAACTTGGATTTTTTAAGCCCAAATTACCATTTACTTAATTGTCTTTGGCTTCGTTTTATTTTTATTTATTTAGTTAGTTTTGTTTTTTGTTTTGTTTGTTTGTTTTGAGACAAAGTTTCTCTGTATAACAGCTCTGGCTGTCCTAGAACTCGCTTTTTGGACCAGGTTGGCCTCGAACTCAGAGATCTACTTGCCTCTGCCTGCTGGGATTAAAGATGCCTTTAATCCCACCACCTGCTTCATCTTCTTTATTATTACTTGACACAAAAGTTTTCAAACTTTTTGGACCATGGCATTCTTTTTGCTTTTTTGTTTAGTTTGGTGACAGAGTCTAGACTTGAGTTCTCAGTTCTCCTGCCTGTGCCCTGGAGTGCTGAGATCAACTGCATGAGCCCACAGCTGGCTGTGCCCACAGTATCACTGCTTCAAACAAAAGTATATGTGACCAGAGTTTGAGTCTTAAATTTTACCTCCTCACCATTCCCCCTTTCTTCCCCCCCTTTTTTTTTTCTTTTTTTAAATTTTTATTTCATTTGCCTTTTTAAGACAGGGTTTCTCTCTGTAGCCCTGGCTGTCCTGGAACTCACTCTGTAGACCAGGCTGGCCTCGAACTCGGAAATCGGTCTGCCTGCCTCTGCCTCCTGAGTGCTGGGACTAAAGACTTGCACCTCCACTGCCTGGCTTGCTATCCCCTTTCGACCTCAGAAGTCCCTAAGTCTTTCACCCTGCTAGGACCCAAAAGAGAATAGTGTGAAACTACACGATAGACAGTCCCTAAGTCTCTCTTCCCTTATAGCTTTGTGGTTCTCTGTCAGAACTTCAACAGGTCAGGTACAGCTGTCCCAGGAACCTGACCAAGGATACTGGATTTTCTTGCACCCGTGAGACAACTTGTCAAAGGAATCTCACCACCCGTCTTTACTGCAAGAACGTGCTGACCACGGAGTGCGCACCTGGTAGGTCGTGAGTGACTGAGATAGCATGTTGCAGCGACTAGCTCCAAGCAAGTCCACTTTCTGACAGACGTCCATCTTCAACTTGTCAAAAGAACCTTTGCTATTTCTCACTTGGATCTGTACCTGCAATCACAAAAAAAGTCCAGTATTACCCATACCAAAGATGGAAATCTAATGGGTCTGAAATAAATTTCTCTAGACACATGGAATTTTAATAATTCCTTTCTCTGTGTCATTATCATCCCATGATTAATGAGGGAGACTTTAGCTAGTTTTGATCATGGTAAGAGATTCTTATATATGTGTGTGGGGAGGGTACGTGTGTGTGTGTGTGTGTGTGTGTATGTGTGTGTGTAGGTCAGAGAACATGTGCCCTTACCCTCATAGCCAAAAAAAAGCCAGGCAGTGGTGGCACACACCTTTAATCCCAGCACTCGGGAGACAGAGCCAGGCTGATCTCTGTGAGTTCGAGGCCAGCCTGGTCTACAGAACAAGATCCAGGACAGGCTCCAAAACTACACAGAGAAACCCTGTCTCAAAAAACCAAAAGAAAAAGAGAAAAAAAGTGTCCCAGATGATAGTAAATATCCCAAATGTTTAGGATATGGACAGTATATAGTAAGAATAGAAGCAAAAAATGGAAGGGCTGAGGAGATGGTGCAGCGGGCAAAGGTACTTCCCACCAAGCCTGGTGACCTGAGTTTGATCCTTGGGACCCACAAAGTAGGAGAGAACCAGCTCCCAGAAGTTGTTCTCTCTGATCACATGTATGCTGTGGCATGTGCTCACACACACACAAAATAAATAAGGGTAATAAAAATTAAAGATGGGCATATTCTAGTGGTATATACACATCTCACAAACAATAAGTAAAATGTAATAAATTTAAAAAGATAGGGGTTGGGGATTTAGGTCAGTGGTAGAGCGCTTGCCTAGCAAGCACAAGGCCCTGGGTTCGATCCTCAGCTCCAAAAAAAAAAAAAAAAAAAAAAGGATAAATAGAAGACATAGTCAATGTTGGGAAGCATTAATATTTCTAAATCATTGAGGTATTTATATATAATTATTCCTTAATAAATGTCACTGGATAATAGAAATCAGCTACTATTCCCCAGCTATCTAATGTATGAAGCACTTCCGGGACCTGAGATACTGGGGCAAACAAATGTTCATCTCACCATTGTCAGACAGGGAGGGACAGGAGGGAAGGGAACTCATTCCAGGAGGGACTCTCATGTGTGGATAGCGTTCTGTATAAATAAAACACTGGTGGGCCAGTGGCCAGGCAGGAAGTGTAGGTGGGACAAAGAGAGAGGAGAATTCTGGGAAGTGGAAGGCTGAGTCAGAGAGACACTGCCAGCCACCATGATGAGAAACAGCATGTGAAGATGCCGGTAAGCCACGAGCCACATGGCATGGTATAGATTAATGGAAATGGATTAATTTAAGCTATAAGAACAGTTAGCAAGAAGCCTGCCACGGCCATACAGTTTGTAACCAATATACGTCTCTGTGTTTACTTGGTCGGGTCTGAGCGGCTGTGGGACTGGCAGGTGAGAGAGATTTGTCCTGACTGTGGGCCAGGCAGGAAAGCTAGCTACTCTCTCAACTTGGAAGCATACTCAGTAAGTGAACAGAACAGAACTTGAGTGACTACTAAATGGTCAGGAAGGTTCTTGACAAGCTGGGATGATGTTTGAACTGGACAGGAAGGTGATGGACAGCAACACCAAGACTCTTGGGGTGAGCAGTGAAGGACCAGGGAAAAGGTTCCAGAGGAAGGGGCAGGTAGAGCAGAGCCTTGGGGGGTGCACAAGAAACAAGTATAAGAGGGCTGTGTGGGGAGAAGGGACCAGACCACTGCAGGATTTCTGAAAGGGATCAGACAGGAATCTGCATTTTTGTTATTTTTATTTGAAGTGAAGTTCATGTACACGTGACCATGTGAAAATATAGACTCCAGTGACATCGGTGCTTTCACATGCTGTCCCACCACCCTCGGGGCCTAACGGTCACTGTCAAGGGTTATAATGGGGTAGGACAAGAGGCCGCTCTGGCTGCAGGACGAGTCTTCACCTGTCTCTACAGGACTGCCCAGAGTAATCAACGGGTTGTGCTGGCTAGGGTTACGTCACCGTGATACAACCAGAGCCATTCTGGAAGAGGGAGCCCAACTGAGAACAACCCCCACCACCACCACGCTACCGTTTTTTCTTAGAATATTCATTTCACGTGAATTTTACTTCAGCAATAATACATTTTCCCACTAGTAATAAACAATTTTCTATCTGTACATAAATTCTAAAAATCTAGGTAATATTTAAAAATGTGATTAGAGCTTTTGTGAAAGGGATAAAAAAAAAAGTGGACATGAGATGCCATGTAAAAAGTACATTTGCCGAAATATCCAAGCAACCAAGAATTGATATTAAAACATTTTTCAAAAAACAGTCTCGAACTGGGTGCAGTGGTATACACCTGTGACCCTGGCTCTCAGGAAGCCAGGGAGGAGTGTGCATTCCTGCCCAGCTGGGCATACAGTGAGAGCCTACCTTTTGTTTTTTGTTTTTTCCTGGTTTTTCAAGACAGGGATTCTCTGTGTAGCTTTGGAGCCTGTCCTGGATCTCACTCTGTAGACCAGGCTGGCCTCGAACTCACAGAGATCCGTCTGGCTCTGCCTCCCAAGTGCTGGGATTAAAGGTGTGCGCCACTACTGCCCAGCTTTTTTTCTTGTTAACTATATAATTTTCATCTTTCATCTCAGATTTTATAATAAAAGACTGGTATTTTATTAGCATTGTTAAATTATTCTGTATTAGTTCTCTATGTTAATGTCAAGAAAAGGAGGGGCTGGAGAGATGGCTCAGCGGTTAAGAGCATTGGCTGTTCTCCTCTTCCAGAGTACTGAGTTCAATTCCCGACAACCGCATGGCAGCTCACAACCATCTATGATGGAGCCAGTGCCCTCTTCCAGCGTGCAGACGCACACAGACAAAGCACCCACATACATCAAAGACATAAACCTAAAGAAAAGGAAGGCGTACATTCTCTTACCTTTTTAAACTTTTCCATTTGTTTGAAGGTGTCTGGGTCAAGCTCCTGCGATGCATCCTTCATCCATAGCAAGGCTCCTCTATACTCCGTGCGAGCCCGCTCCATACGATTAATGGTCATCAAGGTGTCAGAAACGGCCCTCTGACTGAACGTCGCTACTTCTTGCTTAAGACGAGACAGGGGAGTGCACAAGGCCAATCTAATAGCAGAGAGGTAAAGATCAGAGGAAGGCACGTCCATAAACAAAATTCTAGACACACTACAACACGTGTTTACCATGTAGATGGGTCACAGACATGCCTAGAAGATTTAGAGAGCCAACTGAGTTACTAGGAGAGCTGTTTCTACAGGTCCACCCCTTCTAACTTTAGGAAACATAACTGGTAGCACTGTGGATGCTGATCCAGATAAATAACCCAGCAGGTACATCTACCACCCAGAAGAGAGTTTCTGAGACAGCAAAGGACCTGAGTGCGTAAATCACAATCTATTCAGAGTGCTCAGCTGTCAAGTGTTAGGGGGAAGCTGGGTTTAAAGATTAGCTAAAAATGCTAGAACTACGGAGGATGCAGTAGTTCTGGACAGCTGAGTGGCGACAGGAACACAGGTGTTTCAGGAGCACAAACCAAACCCAGCCGCTCTATGGCTGCTTTGGATACAGTGGCACTAGAGCTCAGTTCCTTGAAGGGGGATTTCTGCACTAATGTGGCACTACAGAATAAAGCCACCTGGGCCAGAGGACACACTACAGACCTGATGAGGTCAACTTTCTCGTTTCTGTTATACAAGGATGTGAGCTCTATTTAGAGGGTATATACATGCTATATATACATACTATACATATATGTGATAGTCTTTGTAACACATGTCGTTATGCTAAACACTGTGAAATAATAAGTGGAAAGTATGTAGTTAAGAAAGAAAAAAAGGGGCTGGAGAGATGGCTCAGAGGTTAAGAGCACCGACTGCTCTTCCAGAGGTCCTGAGTTCATTTCCCAGCATCCACATGGTGGCTCACAACCATCTGTAATGAGATATGGCGCCCTCTTCTGTGTACATAATAAATAAATAAATCTTAAAAAAAAAAAAAAAAAAAAAAAAAAAAAAAAAAAAAAAGAAAGAAAAAAAATCGGGCTGGAGAGATGGCTCAGAGGTTAAGAGCACTGACTGTTCTTCCAGAGGTCCTGAGTTCAATTCCCAGCAACCACGTGGTGGCTCCCAACCACCTGTAATGAGATCTGGCGCCCTCTTCTGGCCTGTAGCCATACATGCAGGCAGAACACTGTATATGTAATAAATACATTTAAAAAAAAAGAAGAAGAAAAGAAAGAAAAAAATCAGGCTGGGTTTGGTGGCACAGACCTTTAATCCCAGCACACGGGAAGGCAGAGGCAGGTGACTATTTATGAGTTCAGGGCTAGTCTGGGATACATAGTGACTTTTCTAAAAAAATAAATAAATTTAAAAAGAAAAGTTCCAATTTAATCATAGATAGTATATGTCAAAAAAAGTGAATGACTGGAGGAAGGTGTGGTTCACCGGTCATGCCTCCTCTAGGATGCATGAGGCCTGGGGTTGGCCGTCAGCACCACAGAAAACAGGGAAATGGAAAACATAGGAACATGTATAAATATTAGCCATTCTGTGACTCTATTATAGTAAACCATTTGAGAAATAGAGTAGAGCACTAAGTGCTATTTTTAGGGACTAGGCAATCAAGAACATTAATTTTTAAGTAATTCTCTTGAATGCAAATGAATTATTAAAAGCCAGGCATAAAATATATATCCCCAAACACATTTCTCTGAATGCCTTATTAGAATGGTCAGAACCTTCCTTTGCGAACTTGGCACACACGTCAGGAGCATGCTATGACTACAGAGTGAAGGATGAGGAAAAGCTGTGGTGAACCTTTGCTTGGCTGAAGAACAGAGTGCCTTGCCGGCGGCATCCATCATTTTGCCAGCTTGAGTTGCGTCCCGTTCTGCTTGGAACTTTAAAAAGAGCCCTAGTTCGTTTTCTTCCTCTGATATAACTAGAGAAAAAATTACAGTTGAGTTAATTGTTTCATTTCATCATTTTCTCAAAACATAGACTAGGCGGGAGACTCCACAGGTAAAGGTGCTCTCCGCCAAGCCTGACAACACGAGTTCAATCCTTGGGACCCACATGGAAGGAGAGCCCTGACCCTACAGCTTGTCCTCTGACCTCCACACGTGCGCGCACACACACCGCACACACTGAGATTCTCACAATAACTCTGCACTAGAATTGCAAAGGGGAAGAACATTTTTAACATGTGAGTCTGGGCCTGCTTGTTTGTGGAAAGGCTAACTTTGCCAGTCTCGTTTGCAAGCTCTCCGGTGATTTAGATGCTGACTCACCAAACCTTCCTTCTGGAAAACTGATAACAAACAAATCCACAAATGAGTCTTTTTCTAAGGTGCGGATACACACTGCAGGATAATTGCTTTTCTTTTGTTTTCTTTTTCTTTCTTTTTTTTTTTTTTTTTGGAGCTGAGGACTGAACCCAGGGCCTTGCCCTTGCTAGGCAAGCACTCTACCACTGAGCTAAATTCCCAACCCAATTGCTTTGTTTTATACCAAGTATTTGTTTCTTCTTTGTAATTGTTGAATTACCCTTGACTCCCACCCTGGCTTTGGTTTCCAGCGCTCCCTATCTTAGACCCGCAGACATCTCCAGTCCTGCTGTAGAAACCATAAAAACGATCGTCTGGTGTACTGCCACCCAGTGTGGACCGTGAAGAGATGGTCCAGAGTGTGCTGCCAGATGTGAGAAGAACCAGAGGGGACAGAGGCTCTGGCTAATGTGACTATCAGACCTGTCACAGCTAATTAAAAGCAGTGGGGTTTGGCGGAGACAGGCACAGCTCAGAACATGCTGTGCTCTGCACATGTGAGGTCCACGTATGCTCAGGAGTAAGCTTAGGTTTTGTATGGTTTATTTTGTTTGGGGTTTTCATTTTCAAGACAGTTTCTCGGTGTAGTCCTGGCTGTCCTGGATCTCACTCTGTAGAACAGGTTGGCCTCGAACTCACAGAGATTCACCTGCCTCCGCCTCCTGAGTGCTGGGATTAAGGGCATATGCCACCACCCGGCTCTGAGACAGCGTCTTAGTATGCATAGGATAGCCTTGAGTCTCTATGTGACCCAGGCTGGCCTCCAGGTCATGATTCTCGTGCCTCAGTCTCTCAAGCACTGGGATTACACATATACAGCATCACACCTGGCTAGCATGCATGTTGTTTCTATTTAGTTACCGTAGGAATTCTTTTTTTTTTTTAAAGACAGGGTCTCCCTACAGAGCCCTGGCTATCCTGGAACTCACAGGGATCCACCTGCCTCTGCCTCCTATGTGCTGGAATTAAGGGTGTGCGCCACTACACCCAGCCTGGAACTCACTCTTATTACACTTTACAAAAGTGTCAGACTAGATGAGCCACAAAGGAAATATTGCTCCTTTAGCACAGAGTGCTTTAGACACACCTGTCTACTTCCTACCTGCCAACTTCTAAACCACTCTCAAATGGATGAGGAGGAAAAGTCCGAGTGCCAAGTTAAAGGGAACCCGAAGTGATTAACAAATGCCGTGCCTTCTTTCACCTCAGCCACAGAGGAAAAACTGAGGTTGAAAACTGAAAGTTTCCCCTGCCCTCAAGATGTGGAGAGAAGTAAGTGGTGCATTTTCTGAAGTGAAATTCTGCATTTCCCTGGGTCCTCAAGTAGGAGCCATGACTAACTGTTGACATCATAGGAACCAAAAATGTATACAACATTTCTGTGAAGGGAATCAAGGGACAGCTGGACAGACTTCCCACTGCTGGTGTGGGCAATATCGAAATAGCCACAGTTAAGAAATGCAAATCAGAGCCAAGAGCAAAGGTCCATCCAGCAGTAGTAATTTGACAATAAAAGTTATGCGGAAGAAAAGACGGGGCATGTCTTTAGTTTGAAGATAATGCAGGGGTCGTGGTAAACAATAAAGATGAGATTGAAAGGCTGTCATCACAGGTCCAGTAGCAAATGAGTGTAGACCCAGAATTGTCTCTGTGGTGCAGTGAATGAGGATGGCCCCATAGACTCACAGGAAGTGGCATTATTGGAGGAAGTGTGTCACTGGGGGTGGGCTTTGAGGTTTCAGATGCTCAAGCCAGGCCTATTGGCTCACTGTCTCTTCCTGCTGCCTGTGGATCCAGATGCAGAACTCTCAGCTACCCCTCCAGCCCCATGTCTGCCTGCATGCTGCCATGCTTCCCGCCATGACGACAATGGACTGAACCTCTGAACTGCAGCCAGTCCCAATTAAACACTTTCCTTTATAAGAGTTGCCGTGGTCATGGTGTCTCTTCACAGCAATAGAACTCTAAGACAGCATCCAATGCAAGCAGCACTGCATGAGTCTCCAAGTGTATTTGGAAAATATAACACCCACTTAAAAAGTAAAAGCAATCCCAGCACTCGAGGGGCAGAGGCAGGCAGATCTCTGAGTTCGAGGCCAGCCTGGGCTACAGAGTGAGTTCCAGGACAGCCAGGGCTACACAGAGAAACCCTGTCAAGAAAAAAAAAAAAAAGTAGAAACAAAACAAACCCTGCAAGGGCAGCAGCAGAGCCCCGCCCTCTTCCCTCTGCTCCTCCCTGGGTCCACAAGGTGACACCAGAGAGCATGAGGATGCAATGAGGGGGTGACTGCTCAACCTGTGACCATCTTCAATAAAACCGTGCACTGCATAATGATCCCCCTTGAGACCCGCCCAGCGTGCTGACATAAAGTCCCCTTGAAAAAAGAAAACCTCCCCTCCCCGTTTCCATTCCCACGAGGTGTGCGCCCCACCCTCGACCCCTTCCTCCCCGCTTTCTTCTGCCTCCGTCTTTCCTTGTCTTTCTCTTCATCTCTGTACTAATAAACTCATTTCCATGTGGATGCAGTGCCCGGGTCTGAGTGACTGTTTCCCCTCCCTCACAGGATACCCTGGCCCAGCCAGCCGGGGCACCTCCCGGTGGGTGCAATGTCCTAACACTGGTGCCACTCTGTGACTCGGCAGGCTCTTACTGCTTCCTCCTGCTTGCCGGCAGTCTGAGGAACTCTGGGACCCTGTACCGCCCACCATTTTTCCGACTGGAGGACCCCGGGACTCTTCACCCTGTTGGGAAGATTCCTCGTGCCCTCCTGCGCATTTCCCACAACTGAGGAGTCACCCCTCTCTCGAACCACGGTCTCCCGAAGTTCCGTTGCCCGCACTACTGCGTGTCTTTGGGTCTTTCAGCCCTCGGCCCCATCCCTATGCGGGGGCACCTGGAGGGCATGTGCCCACTCACTCCGTAACCCACGGCCTGTGGTATGACGGTCCACTGGCGAGCTCGCCATTATCATTGGTTCTCACTGACCCTCTGGGATGCTGGAGTCAATCCGCCCGACCTTTTACCTCACTGTGGAAAGTGAGCCCACCTACCCTCTGTCCCAGCTCCTCGCTCATTGCCTGCTCACCATGCTCCTCCAGTCTCTGCTACGCAATCCCATCACCACCTGTCACAGGTTCCTTCCTGTGGGACCTTGGCATGCAGCCCTGAGCCCTGCCCCACTGGCTGCAGAGCATAAGGGGTGATGGGCTAGCCTCAGAAACGTCTGGTCGCTTGACTGTATTCCTGCCGCTGTCAAGGCCTCCACAGGCACTGCCTGGGGTGAGCTGTGCGAAGCCAAGCCCCTCCCCGCTCCAGGAGCCCGCCTTCCTGTAGAGGGGCCCCCAAACAGCTTGACCACACAGCTGCCATGACAGGCTTAGAGGCCCAGACACAGCTTCTGTGACAGGCTTACGGGCAGGCAACACCCAGACCCAGGAAAAGCCATAAGCTGACCCTACCCAGGGAAGGCCTGCATCTAAGGGAAGTACCTGACACCCCAATCATTCCAACCATTAGATAAGGTGGCCAGAAGATGTCCCTGAGTCCCGCACACCTATTTCTGTTTTACAGCTACCCCTAGACAAAGGTCAGCCAATCAGGGTCCTGAACCCTGGAAATCCCTCACCCCAACCTCTGCTATGATAAAACTCTACCCCACCTGAGCTCAAGGCTCTCTGCTCTCACTGCTGCATCAGACAGACAGAGAGACCAAGCTCAGAGCTTGAAGAGAATAAAGGCTCTTTGCTTTTACATATGGGATTCAGTCTCCTTGGTGGACTTTGGCGGGGGGAGTACCCGAGATCTGGGCGTAACACTTCCCTCTCCTGCTGCTGCACTTCTGGGGCTCACGAGATGGCCACATGAACTTGTTTCTGACTGACTTTTAAATGCTTCAGTTTATCTGTTCTTTATCTGTTTGTCTAAAAAAAAAACCCCACATGATCATGGGGTCAGATGCCAATCACATGGTCAGACGCCATCTTTGCTAAGGCCAAAGGGGAACAGGTCATATGACCTCACCATCTTGACTAAAGGTAGCAGAAAGCCACTTCCTTTCAGAGCTCAAGCTTCCTGTCGGGGAGCCCAGCACTTGAGCCATCTACGCTGGTCAGAGGACTGGAGCCTCCGGCCATGGCCTTGGCATTCATTCCTCTGCGTCCACTCTCGGGTTCTGTGGGTGGGGCCCAGAGACCTGCCCTGGGCTCTCACTGGTGGGAGCTTTCAGTTCCCTGTGGGAGTGGCTTCTCCCGATGCTTGAGAGATTTTAAATCTTTTTAAAATGCCAGGTACTAGGTCTCTTGATAAATGATTCAGGATATAAGTACCAGTTACAAAGATATAAATAGATGATCTGAATGCTTCAGATCGGTTTTCCCCTCTATATTGTTATATTAAGATTTTAAAATTTCAGATTTTAACATTAATACTGATACTGTTTGGGTCACAAGCCCAGAATTTTAAATTTTCCTTGGTTACTCATTAACTGCTTTTCTATGATTTGGATTTCAGTACTGACTGGAAATACTAATTTATCTAAAGCTTTTATATCCTTTTATAAAATAAAAATTCATATAAACTTCACAGGATTGGACCCACTTCACAGAGGCCAACCGA